CAGTAATAACCCAGTCAAATGCGGTGTTATAATATGGAGATTTTTGAATACACAGGGGTTTAATGTTTGTAGAAGCAGTCCACCAAAAAAAATGTACCATTCTGGTAAGTTTTAGATAAGAGGAATCCGATATACAGCTGTAGGAAGGAAAAGTACAGCTGCAGAGGTTAAAAGAGGGTTCTGCAAGTATGCAGCTGCTTTGTTGGCCTAATCAGACTTTCCTGTCCGACTTGACAACCCTTCCAGCCCTCACTTTGTAGAACTACAATTTCTCGGACAATTGAAGGGATGCTTGAGTGTAGATACCTGGATATATAGTGTTCTGTCTGTCCAGAGTTTCTGTCTTCAAGCTGGGAACATCATATACTTATCCCATCTTTCCAAGTCTTCTGAGGAGTTCTGAAATCATTTGATCACACAAATTACTTTCTCCACAGAAATTTAGTGCCTTTTTGGATCACACCAGTATGTTTCCAATCAGCTGTGTAGAAAAATACTGTTAAAACAAACAAACAAAAAGCCCCATACCCCTGCCTTGAACAGTTTTTGTCTTGTCTCATTGAAGAGGGGGTGAGAGGGTGGTGGTGTGCAGGGGAGGGAGGACAGTGAGAAGAAAATTCTAGCATGTTGAAAATTTCCTTTGTTCTAAGCGTCAAGAAATAAAAAGGAGAGAGTTCCTGCAGCAATTTAAGCTGGTAGCCAGTGTTCATTCTTTATATTTTAAATGCTTGTTTTAATGTTGTTACCAGACTGAAATTACCTTTTGGATGAAAATAATACAAGTGGAACAAATAGCTTATATGCAGCGCAATTGAGTTAATGTTGCCATAGGAACCTTTATGTTTCTCTGACAGTATTTTAACAGTGTAGCCTTAATTGTATTTAATAGTATGTGCAGTTTTTGCCTTGTGAGTATGCATAACTGAAATTCTGCAGGACTGAGCTAGGGCTGGAGTGCCATGTCACATTCCTCTGTTTCAAGATGGCACAGTGTGAGAGCAGAGTGATCATATTTGGAAAAATGCTCGCAGCATTAAAAAGAATTTTTTTTTAAGATAATTGTATGACCCTTGCATGTCCAAAGGCTTTTAGTGGCTTTTGTATAAATCCTTTGTGATTTACTAACTTAAATCACAGAATCACAGAATGTTAGGGATTGGAAGGGACCTCAAAGGATCATCTAGTCCAATCCCCCTGCTGGAGAAGGGCCACCTAGATCAGATCACACAAGAACGCGTCCAGGCGGGTTTTGAACATCTCCAGAGAAGGAGACTCCACAACCTCTCTGGGCAACCTGTTCCAGTGTTCTGTTACCCTTACTGGGAAGAAGTTCTTCCTCATGTTTAAGTGGAACCTCCTATGTTCCAGCTTATGTCTTAAAGTTCATGTACACTTAACTGTATTGCTTTCAGATAAATATTGAGCATACGAAAAATCTAGTTAGCAAAATGAAGTAAAAAATAATGTGATCCCTGTCAAAATGAAAGTATGTTTTGTTTTTCAGACCCTTGTATCTGTGTGTGTCTTGATTTCAGGAAGGCTAAGGTTAGCTTGATGCAAAAGCAATGGCTAGGATAACCTCTGTCTCCTCTGTGGGAAAACAAGAATGTGTTTGTGCCTTTCATACGTAAGGCTAGAAGCTAATAGGGCATGAAGAATTTCCTGGACTCTGGTGGGTATGAAGGCAGCAGCCTTCATTCTGGCAGCCAAAGCTCAGGTACAGGCTGTTTGTTCAGTTCTTTTTGGCTTTGCATTTTGATATTCTGTAAATGGGGGGGAAGTGCCAGTAAATGGAATGGTTCCTTGATTAAGGCTGTGCTGCGTTGCTTTGAGTTAACCTACCAAGAGTGGCAGCGCTTCAAGCCTAGATCAGGTTGACTTAAGTATTACACCAACTCAGTTGTCCACCAGCAATAACTGAAGTACAAACAGTGGATCTCCTCATCTGGAGGCTGACTGATCGCTGTCCCTGCGGGAGAGCTGCAGGCCTTGGCCCCAGGTGCTAAGACTGGCTTGGGGAGGAGAACCAACAGGGACGTAACAGTAAAGTTAAACAATGCCAGTGGAAGACTGCATGGAAGACACATGGACTGCAGTTTGCTACCAAGCCAGGAATATCTCATAGGGGCAAGGGGGAACTGTATTTGAGGAAGAGCTCTAGCACTTCAGTCTCTGTGAATTTTTAAAGTTCACAGTGATCTGAAACCATGTGCCCTTGTTCCTACTGTCTAGAAAGTTAAAATTAAGTATTTTGTATAATGAAAGGCATTCAAAGAATCTTAGTCTGTGGCAGTTAAACAAATGAAGTAAATGGGTGGAGACCCTTGAACTACAAAATCACAGAATAGCAGAATGATTGGTGTTGGAAGGAACCTCTGCAAATGATCCGGTCCAACCCCTCTACTCAAGCAGAGTCTCCTAGAGCAGGCTGTGTCCAGTGTTCAGTCACCCTCATGTTAAAAATAAATAAATACATAAATAATTTTCTTTATGTTCAGTGTGAACCTCCCATGTTTCAGTTTGTGCCCATCGCCTCTGGTCCTGTCACTGGTTACCACTGAAAAGAGCCGCCTCCGTCCTCTTTGCAGCCTCCCTTCAGGTGTTTATATCCATTGATAAGACCCATCCTGAGCTTTTTCTTCCCCAGGCTGAACAGTCCCGACTCTCTCAGCCTTTCCTCGTAGGAGGTATGCTCTGATCCCTTTATCTTTGTGGCACTTTGCTGGACTCTGTCCAGTATGTCCATCTCTTTCTTACCTGGGAAGCCCAGAACTGAACACAGTGCCCCAGGTGTAGCCTCACCAGTGCTGAGTAGAGGGGAATCCTGTGCATATTGCCAAATAGGTTACTATATTGTAGGATGAACACAATGATTTTTTTCTTTATTTGCAGTCTTAGAAACATGTTATTTTTCCAGTGAAATAATGTAATTGCAAGCAAAGGTGTCTTCCAAATTTGGCCCTGGACTGGAACTTTGGACATGAGTGAATAGCATAACAAATTGCCACTGGCAATCATGTGGCAAATGCATGAACATATCTGTTAACCTGTGCTTCAACTATCAGTATATAAAAGGGATGTGGCAATTCCCAAGCTCAAAGATACCGCAGTGATAATTTTTTATACCAGTAAAGCTGAAATACTGATGTGGTCATGAAACCAAAGTATTTTCATCTGTATAGCTTGACTATTCCTCACCTATTTCTGTTACAGTAAACAAAGTGGTACCAGTCAGGGAGCAGGGTAAGTGGTAACAACCTAGAAGAGCCATGAGTGAGGGGGAGCTTAACAGAAATCTGCAAAATCGTGAGTAACTGGACATGAGAGATGAATTAAGATTTCTAGAGCTGTAAGCATCAAATTAAGTTAGTAAGAGTGCGTTGCAAAGCAAAAGATGAGGGTTTCTTACATCATGGATAGTAGATGTATGGAACTCCTTGCAAGATGATGTTGGAGGTGAGGAAAACTTATGTGGGCTCAAGAACAGAGAAGGCCAGACCTTCAAGAATTGCTAAAAATAGAAACTACGTCTGTCTCTGAAGCTGGAAAAAAAAATGGAGGTTGGGAGGACAGTTGAAGGAAGTACTGGCCAGTTCTCCCTTATCTGCTCATGCCTGCTCTTGCAGATGAAGTCTTGGACTGGACAGACACCTCCTTGGTCAGACCTAATATGGCCTCTTACCTTGTGTGATTAACTTACATCACAACTTAATCTGTCCTGATGCTTTTATTGGTGTTCACAAAGAAATACAGTTTCCTAAAAAAGGAGGAGAAAGGGGTGAAGAATATGTGGCAGTTATGAACAAAGTGGACAGTGGCTTTGGTAGCTGCACCTTTGGTATCTGCAGCTGCACAGATTCAGACATGCTTTTTGAATTGCTGTTTGTGATGATGATGATTTAATGGCATCTGTTCTCAGATGGATTCTCTTCTCATAGCTTAAACACAATTTTATTGGATGCTGCAAAAGTAAAGTCTGTTCTTTCATTTCCAAAACACTGAATATGGACATTAAGCTATTCTGTGTGACAACCTTCAGCATTTCTAGGAATAGGGTAGTGGAAGTTTGTCCTAACCTCTTGTTTTCATCTATGAAGCTTAGATGCTTGGCTCGGGGGCGGGGAAGAGGATCAGCGGTTCATGCAGAGGGCAAAAAGTAGAAGCAGATTAGCTGTATTGCAAGGTGAAATGTATTGCTGTCCTGATTTTTCTGATCCTTTCATTTTTTGTTTGCCACTTTTGCAGTAACAGGATGCATAAAGGATTCTATTATATCAGCCCAGAATAGTGTAACAAAGCAGTAATGTAGTTTCATTTTTCATGGGGAAGGCAGGCTTTTATCAAACTCTGTGGAAGAGAGTAGTAATGGACTAGATTTTAATTATTAATGTACTGCATGTGCCCAGTGAATTGCGATGGCATGATGCTGTTGTTCTGTGGGCAGTCAGCAGAGAATTCTATCATCTTCCTGAGCGAGGATTTTTGTTTCCAGTATGGAGGAGTACTCCTAGTCTGTAAAGCCAGAAAGAGCAAAATGCATTTTCTTCATCTCTGCATCGCTTTTGGAGCCAGCTCGTCTCCATAGCAACATGTTAGCCTGAAAGAGATGTGGAGACTAGGGAGGAAAGGAATGAGTTAGAAACAGCCAGGCAGTGGTGTGTGTCCCCCACGTCAGCGCATCAGCCTTTTGATAGGATGATTTTGTTAACACCCATCCGAGGCTCCTGTGCAGAGCTGCTTTATTAGAGCAGCCGCCAAGGCTTCTGCTTCTCCCTTCTGCATCCTTTTTCTATTTTATTTTATTTTTTCACCCCAAATACACCCTCCACACCCCCCTTTTATTTTAGTTGCAGCCTTATTGAAGATGTACAGGTCATTTTCAGTCTTCTGGGAGCTTCCTTACGATACGGTGTTTGGCAAAGGCAGGAAGGCATGGCTGCATTTCACTTGACCTTAGCAGCGAAGTGAAATCTCATCTATGTTGCTGAAGGATACTGACTATGCAGAAATTTATTGAAGCAGATTATTATGAACTGGACTGGTATTATGAAGAATGCACAGATGGTAAATATTTCTTTCTAGTCTCTTTTTGCAGAATTTGGAGCTTGTAACAGTGGAGCATCGTTATTCAACGCTTTTAAAAATGAAGTACCTTGAAAAAGGGCAGCACCCTGGTGTAGCGGAGATGCCCTCATCTCTGTTGCACCTCAGCATCTCTTGTGAGCATGTTACAAGAGACTCTGCTGTATAGCTTTCTCTTTTTCAAAGGGAGTGGCAGAGGAGCGTAGGCACTACGTGAGGATATCTTTGGGCAGAGGGAGAAATATTTGAAATGCTAACTGTATGTATAATAATTCAGCTGAATTTAAATACACTTATTGTAAGATTCTGTATTGATTTGTGGTTTAAGTCTCTGTGGGTTTTCTGCATTACCAATATGCTGTAATATGTATATATTTAATGTGTTAATAGGCAGTTCATGTTTTTTTCTCTACTTATTTGTCTATGAAAGATATTTAAAACCATAGCTTCTTAAAAGTAAGCAAGTTAACTTTTTGAACTGAAAAAATTCCAAACTCTGGCAAGCATGATCTTCGGAGCTTCTGGTAATTTTTTTCATGTTTGCTTGGGTGATTATTTCTCTATCAGAGCAGTGCATGTTTTCATCAGACTTCTGATAGAAGGCACATAGGAAGGGCTAAATCTGTACTCTTTGCAGAGTGGAAAAATCAAGATTCTTCACTGATGGCACTGATTCAGTGGTAACCTCTAAACCAAAGTGCAGCCCTTGGGAAAACAATAGTTGTATCTGGATTTTTTTATGGTTGGAGAGCTTGGCCTAAATGAGGCAAGTCCAAGATCACAGTCAAGCCAAGAGCAGAAAGGAGTAAGAAGCATAGGCCCAGGGGATGTTGTACGTATGTAGTACAGAAAGATATTTCGTAGTGATTTGGTAACAATATCGGAGAGGACATGAAGAGTAGAGACGTGTGTGACAAAATTGGAAGGTGTTTTAATGGTCTTTTGAGTGGCATGTGCCTCCATTTGTTTCTCTGTACTAGATTTTGGAACTGAATGCAATTTCAGAGGCTTGTCAAACTCGAGCTTCTCTTAGCATACCTGGACAAGAATAATCAATTAAATATAAGAGGAAAGGTGCATATTTATTTGAAAGATCTGACTACTTTAAGTTGGATTGAATCCATTATGTAACATTTATCCTCTAGGTTTAACCCTAGTAAATGCTGTAGCATCTCATTAATCTGCATGATGTAACAGTCTGAGTTGGCCTGATTTTAGAAGCTTCAGAAATAGAACAGTTGTACTGTCATTAATATCTGTAGCTGATTTTCCCCAGTTAGATACAGATAGCTTTCTCTTTATTGTTCTTTTTTATGGTCCCTTGTCTGTCTGGTGAAAGGGTTGTTGTGTGGAAGTGTGGCCTCCTTGAATGTCTGAGCTAAGAGCTCATCTGCTTATCAGATTGGTCTTAAGGTGCATGCTGCACTGATGAAACAATGGGATTTCCACAATAATGAAATAAGCAACAGGTGTTGAGCAAGTGTTTAAATTCCTTTTGGGATCAGGGCCTCAGGAGCACTGTCATGATTGGTCTGCTTCTGAGCTTACAAGTTTTCTTGTGAGTCCTGAGCCTCCACCCAGCATGATTCTTCCATAAGTGGAGATCTACAGAGAGTCAGCTAGAGTATGTGCTGGCTGGCTGCTTGAAGTACTTGGGGAGTTCTCCCCAAAGACAAAGCAGGGTTTAAACTCAGATAGGGAAAATATCTTCTGTAGGTAAGGCACAATGCTTCATTTATTTGTTTATTTTAAATTGAAATATTACTTTTTACATGATGGAAGGGTATTTCTATCAGTCTTGTCTTGATGTTTCAGGTGAATAGCAGTCTCATAAGGTTTAACGGAATTTTATGGAGATAAGCTTTCTTTTGTTTCTCCCAGTTGATGTGTGGGAGAAAGAGAGAAGGATTTGAGAGGTGCGGTAGAAGGCATAGTCTTTGGCCTGTCATACTGACGTATTAATTTGGGTTTAAAATATTATTGATGTTTCCTGTTGATGGAGAAAGGTATTCTGATTGTAGTGGGAGACAAAAGGCATCTTTAAAGTATAGTAGAAAATTGAACTTTTTCAAAAATGTAGAGCAGGTGGCATATTATGAGATGCGCCCGTTTCTGGAGTGATGTTTGATTTTTTTCTACCATGTATTTGTCAATAGCAGAGTCATTTCTCTGAGATGCTTTTTATATTCAGTAGAGTGTGACAGCTGACTTGTTTTGAATATCTATTTTAAGACAAGATGAAGTATAGTGAGAGAGCTTATTTTTCTATATCTTTGTATCAGAAATAGCATGGCCAGCAGGACTAGGGAAGTGATCATCCCCCTGTACTCAGTACTGGTGAGGCTGCACCTTGAATACTGTGCTCAGCTTTGGGCCCCTCACTACAAGAAAGACACTGAGGTGCTGGAGAGTGTCTAAAGAAGAGCATCGAAGCTGGTGAAGGGTCTAGAGCACAAGTCTTAAGAGGAGTGGCTGAGGGAACCGGGGTTGTTTCGCCTGGAGAAAAGGAGGGTCAGGCGAGACCTTATCACTCTCTACAGCTACCTGAAAGGAGGTTGTAGTGAGGCGGGTGTCAGTCTCTTCTCTCAAGTAACAAGTGATAAGACAAGAGGAAATGGCCTCCAGTTGTGCCAGGAGAGGTTTAGATTGGATATTAGGAAAAATTTCTTTACCAAAAGGATTGTCAAGCATTGGAACAGGCTGCCCAGGGAAGTGGTCGAGTCCCCATCCCTGAAGGTATTTAAAAGACTTGTAGACGTGATACTTAGGGGCATGGTTTGGTGGTGGACTTGGCAGTGTTAGCTTAACGGTTGGACTGGATGATCTTCAAGGTCTTTTCCAACTTAAACAACTCTATGATTTTGCTATACGTGGACTCTCTGGAGCTCAGATGTTTGTGTGCATTCAGTTGCTAATCCTACCCAGTTTGCTGTTTCTGGTGACTATATTGGAGCAGAGCCAGTGGTATCTTGAAACTAATAGAAAACCTCACAAGGTATTATCCTACAGAATTATTTTTCTGATTAAGTTGTTCATACATTCTTTGTCAAAGTCACTGGGACTCAAATTTCTATCTAAAAGGTGTGACTTCACTTGTTTTACTTTTTAAAATAATTATTTTAGCAGTGGTATGGTTTCTTGTTCTTCAAGGAAAAAAGTACTCCAAAATTACACCAGGATATAAGGTTTTAATGCTGCTGTTTAACTTACTAGATAAAGTTAAGTGATTCTCACTGTTACCTTAGATTTACTGAACTTCTGTATGGACCAACATAGTAATGATGTCTTAAACTTGCATTTGGTGGTGGTAATTTGCAAAAGTAAATTAATAAGTGCTCCAAACTTACAATTTACAAAGACTTTCTAGAGTTGGAATAATGAATTAATCCCTTTACATAAGGTCTTTCACAGAGTTTAGTTTTGGTATGAGTAGATTGAATTAGACAATAAAATGTCACATTCTGTTTATCTGAAGATTGAATCACTGGTGTTAACTAACATTACAATAAATTGAAACTTCTATAAATAACAACCATTACACTGTGCTTTTTAGATACATTTTCAAGTATAATATGTTACAATATGAGTGACAGTTGCCGCCTTATTTGGCATTAATGAAATATATTGTGTAGATGGAATGGGGAGGAGGAAAGTGCTGGGTGTGTACTCGAGTAGCAAAGTAGTTATTTTCATAGCAGACCTCAAGGCTGACAGAACTAATGATGAAAGGGGAAAAGGTGAAACTTTTTTTGCAGACTTTTATCATGAAAGATAGTACAATGCAACTTGGGCGAAAAAATAACGTGAAAACCCCACAAACTCCCAAACAGCTAAACAAACATAAGTACACGTAGAAATCTTAATGAATGGCCTTCTTCCCCTGCCTCCTTCTTAAGCCAATATTTTTCATCCTTTTAGTGAATGATGCTTTCCAGAGAAATCCAGGTTGACTTTGGATCAAATTACTTTTCTTGTTTCTTCCATTACTCGTTTACTTCTAGCTGAACAACTCCACACTAATGCCTGAGAGTTCATTGCCTGCAATGCCAGAAGAGGTTTGTGTATGTGCAACTGGCTCCTTCCTCCTTCTTTTAGTGGCCATGAGTTTCAGCAATTTCTTGGGGAGAAAATAGCGTCTCTTCCGTTTTTCCCCCTCCAGTCACACTGCGTTCCCTGTTTGTCACATGTGCCGAAGCTTCTAACCCCTTTTGTGTCTGCCTGAAGAACTTTAATCTCACTCTGTGTCATTCTGGCACTCCTTATCCTGCTTTTGCTCTTCTCCCGAACTTTCAATTCCTACTTGTATTTTCTTCCTGCTCACATTGAAATGTTTTCGTCTCTTGTTCTGTTTGCAGTTTGGACCTCCTCTCCTCTGTTCTATTTTCTGCTTCACTGAAACGATTATCAGCAAGCTCCCTAACTTTATTTTCAGCTGAACAATAATTAACAATGTTAATGCCTGTTCTCCTTGACCTCTCGGCTACTTTAAGCATGATTACTTATCCTTGTCTTGCTTATATTAGTGTGCCTTTTCAGATGTGAGACTATGTCCTGGGTGTGTGTTGTGTGTGTTGTTGGTTTGTTTTTTTTTCTTTTTGAACGATCCTTTAAGGTAGCATTAGAAGAATATTTCATATTCCCTGCTGCAACTCTTAGAGTTCTTGGTTATCCGTGTTTCTTCTCTGTGCGCCTTAGTTACAGGTAATCTCACAAACACACATCTGCCAGCTCTGTGGGTGGCACAGTCAACCTTTTCACTTAAAATATGCCTCTCGACACCTTTTCCCTTACAGTAGGAGCTTGGCTGATGGTTGGGCATTTATGACGATTCGTCTCCCTCACACATTAGTCCCTTTTGTCTCCATCCCTGCAGAAAGAGTAACCCTGGTGTTAAGTGGATGCTGACTGTGGGTATGCCATCTAAATCTGAGAATCTTATGAATGCCTGTGGCGTGCAATCTCTGAAACAGCTCTTGCTCTGT